ACTTCGAAAAATTTCCACAGAAAAAAGGTATATATTTTAATGGTGTTGGATTTTTATATATTTGCTATGATGCTTAGGGCTACAAAGGTCTTAAAACATTCCTGGTAAAGAGAATTGGCTTAGATTGGCTTAGCTGAGCCAATAGGTTGGCTTCCTAAAGGTCAGGTGATTATTTCTTACCCAGTCAACTGTGGTGGTGGTGGTGGTGGCTGGTCAGTTAATTGGGTCTTTTTCTTTTATGGCAGCCCAATGATGTTTCTCTTAAACTAAAGTCGACCCTGTTAAGAGATGTACAAATGACTTCGTGCCTAAGAAGAACAGATAATTGTGAGTTGTTTAGGGATTTTGTTTCTTATCTAACTAGATTCTTCCAATGGCTAATGACTGCTCTGGGTTATTCAGCCATGCCCATGGCTCTAATTACCAAATGCGATGACTCTTGTACACTGTCTTCATCATATATCTCTCCTCTGAGCTCAAAGCACATTGAGATAGCCACCTTCTGGATATCTCCATCATGAGGTCCCTGGCACCTCAAATTCAAAAAGCTCCAACTGAACCAATAAATCGTTCATAAATTTTCCATAAACCTGTACTCCCTACCCCACCTTTATTTCCAGTTTTAGTGAATGGCACATTATCCATCCACTTGCCCAAACCAGACTCCCAGGAGCATTCTTGGCTCCTTCCTCTTGTCCCACATCCAATCACTCACCAAGCTCAGTCGATTTTGCCTTGTTGATACTGAAGGCAGACTGCCTGGTCCTACAACTTCCTAGCTGTGTGGGCTTGTTAAGTTACTTTATCTTCTTGTGGCTCAGTGTCTTCATCTGTAAAATAGGCATAATAATGGTATCTTACAGATTGATCATGAGGAATAAATGAGTTAATGCACATAAACCGCTCAGAACAGGGCCCTGCACATAGCATGGGCTATATAAATCCTTGTTCTTCTTTGCAATTGCTGAATTAAAAGCGAATGCAAAAAATCCATAATGAACAAAATATTAAAAGAGAGCAAGAGAAAGGTTGTTGCTGTTGTTTTATGACCCTGCATCATTGTGTAACAAGAACAGTTGTTTCCAACCCATGCTCAGTTCCAGGGCCACTGGGCCATCATGTCTACTCACTGAGCAGGTTTATGAGGTTTGACAGTGGTGAGAGAACTGATTGGGCAATATGAGCCTTTAGATACAGTCGTGTTTTTTCATTGTAGAGATTTTATTAATTTTTTCTACTTGATTAAAAAAATATATAGGAGTGCACAGTTTTCCTTTTGCTTTAGGCTCCAACATGGCACTGGGCAGAGCTGACAGAAGTGGCCGATGGGGTGGATATATGGTATAAGCAAAGAAAGAAATCAGAGACACTCCTAGGTTTGGACCTGAGCAACTGAATAAATGTTGATGTCATTGATCTCTTGGGTGACCTTGGGAGAGAAGAAGCTTGGTACACAAAAATTCAGAGTCCCGTTTAGGACAAATGAAGTTTGAGATGCTAGTTAGATACCCACACTGGGGATATCAAGTAGGCAGTTAGATATCCACGTCTTTTAGGCCTTTAGGATTCTCAGTTTCCATCTATATGGCTGTCTATTCTCCTGTCTGCAGACCAGCTTCTAGAGCTCACTTCTCAATAACTTTGGCATCATGGTTTTGGGTGCCACAGTTCTGATTTGGGCCACCACCATTTACAAGCTCACCATTCAGTCTGGCTGACTCATTCTCATGGCCCAGTTTCAAATACTGTGGAGAGAGCCTGTGACAGCCCACCCAAGGGCAAGTGCCCACAAAGATCCAGTTTCCTATGGCTGGGGTCACAGAGCATGGAGGCTGCTGCTCTGGGCTGAGTACAGGATAGGGTAGGAAAGTTGGATGTGGCAAGCAAATTTGATGACATTTCTTCAGGAAACCTTTTCTGGACCCCAAGGAGAAAGGTTGGCTGTCCTTCCTGCATGCTCCCAGAGCTTTGTCCCTTCATAAGTGGTAGTATAATGGCCTGTTTTCTTGTCTGTCTCCCTTACTACACTATACAGTCTTTGAGGGCAGGGCTCTGAACCCATAGGAACTAGTACAGAGTAGATACTCAGTAAGTATTTTTTGAGTGAATGAATATATAAGAAGAAATGCCTGTCATAAAAGTGCGCTCCCTCTGGCTTGCTGGAGAAGGGATCACCATAATGGAGAAAGATGTGAAAAAAATAAAATAAACAAAGCAAAATGAAACAAAAACCAACAAAAACCCGGAGCCAAATAACAGGTTTTATAAAACATAACATGTTTTATAATTATCTGTCCTCAGGAGTAAGATCCTACAATGGCTCCTTGCAAGCATTTTGAGCTCTGCATGTGTTTGTATGTACACACACACACAAACGTATATTTAAACATAAAGTTAGAGAATGTTGGCTCTGGAAGGGATCTTAAGATCCTTCAGTTGAGCTTTTTAATTTTAAAATGAGAAAACTAAGTCTGAGAGAGGGTAAAGATGACTTAAAATCCCCGAAACTTCCAGTCCTTGTTCTCCTGCATAAAGTTGCTTCTGTTTAAAGTGATTATTCTTAACTTTTTCAAGGGATCAATATGAAAGAAATCTGTTGAGAACCACAGATCTTCTCTCTGGGGGGAAAACGTACATTGGCATATAGATAAGACATTGTCCCTATAAAGTCCAAGAATTCCGTTTAGAACCAAACCATCAAAGGAACAGAGAATGAGTACCCAAGAACAGGGAACTTTAGGCATAGATTTAAATACATTCTTCGCTGGGTATGTTCCCTGACTTTTCTGAAAGCTAGTAAACATCTTACAGAGTTTCTGTGAGAGTAGTTGAGAAAATGTAAGTGCTGTACATAGGAGGTACTCAAACAGCCACATTTCAAAAGATGGGATTTAGGACTTCTCAGAGAACTCTCAACAAGGCTTTTTTATATATAACAAGTCTTTTCAGCTGAGGCTGTAAAGGATGCACTTGGAAAACTAAACACAACAGGTGTAGCTTGATTTTGTCCCCTGGAGCAATCAGGTCAACAGAATGAGTGCCAATTTCTTGGCGACTGAGAGAAAAAAGAGGACGAGGGCAAAGAGGTCTCAGGGGCCATGAGTCTGTGAAAAACCTTAAATACCAGAGGTGTAAAAAGAAGGCTTAGGGACAGGGCATTTGGGCTGGAACAGGAAGACATCCTCCACTTTCAGGGTCCATTTCCTTCATTTAACACTTTAATTCCCATCGGGGAGCAAAGGAGTCATCCCCAGTTTTTGCGCAGATTCTACACTTCTGCTCACCCAGACATCCCACGGCTGGATTTGTTTTATTTGTCTGAGCATCCCAGCAGGAGACATTTAGATCTGGTCACTGAAATTGCTGGAAGCAGACTCATCAGGATAGGAAGGAAATCACTACTCTAGTCCTGCAAATTCACTACTCAGGGAGAGAGACCAAATCTGTAGATCCCCTTGACGTTTCGAATGCCCTTCCTAATGTAAAATGCTAATTGCTGGGGCTTCAGACTTGCGTGGAAGCTTTTTCCAATGAAAACTTGTCCATCTCCTCCTGCACGTCATCTTGAGGTGTGAATGAACTCAGACACCATCTTTCTATCTTAAATTGGACAATGCACGCACATTGCAGGGCACAGAGGAGGCAATGAATGAATGATAACTATGGTGTTTTCTTTTTCGCTCCCTTCTTCATCTTCCATTCTCTTTTCCTTGGGGGAACAAGAAAGTAAAAACGTTATGAAATTCCTTCACCTTCCTAAAGAAGATTAACGGGAGGGTGCCAGAGTATGGGAACCTCGACCCCTACTCGAAAGCTTAACTTGAAAGATAGTTGCATTCCCTCCACCAAGCGTCATCCCTGCCTCTGTCGCCGAAGCCACCTGACTAGTCCCGGGAGTGCCTGGCAGCCTTTGCGAGTACGTGGGAAGGGGCGTCGAGGACACGAGATGGGGACGAGTCGCTTCGAGACGGCGGCGTCCTGGGAGGAGGCGCTTCGAAGACACCCGCCGCCCGCACGCCGCCCGGGCCGGGCGCTCTCTGCTGCCCCCCGTGGAGGCGCCCGCGGCCCAGCCCCGGCCCCCCCAGCGGCTCCTCGGGAATGCTGGGAATGTGAGTCAGGGCCGCGGCCGGCGAGCGAGCGCGCCGAGCGGCCGGGCGGGGGGCCCGGCGGAGCGCGGCGCTGGCAGTGCCGCGCGAGCGCGCGTCTCGGGACTGCGGCGGGTGCCGCCCCCTCGGCCGTCCGCCCCGCCCGGCCCGGCGCCGGGCTCCGGCCCTGGAGCCGTGTCTCCCTCCGTCTCTCCCTCCCTCCCGCCCCGCCCCGCCCCGCTCCTCCTGCTCCTCCCGCTCCTGCTCGCTCGGGCTCCGGCTCCGGCGCCGGCGCCGGCTCCTCCCGGCCGCCCGGGGCCAAGGCGACGTGAGGTTGTAAAAATCCATGTGGGACGGCCCCGGGGCGAGCATCGGAAAGGTGAGACGTCGACGCCGGGGCCGGGGCTGTTGGGCGCCCGGCTCCCTCGGGGCGCCCGTGCCTGGGCATCCCTCGTGCGGGTCCCCCTCACTCGTGGGGAGCTGCAATGCGTTATCGGGGGGAGCCGAGGGGTGAACCATCCGCCTCCACGGGGGCTTTCTGGGGCGGGGGAAAGGATGAGGCGGCCTAAGGGTGGATTTACCTTGATGTAGAAACCCCCGGATTGGAACAAGTGCACGGCTTCCTCCGGCGCGCGGGCCACCTCCCGCAGTCCCTCTCCGGCAGCCAACCTCACTGCCATCGCCTTTCTTTTCTCCGGCTTCCCCTCTTTCCCCTAGCTTTGCCCCTCTTCCCCAAGGGGTAGGGTGTTCGCAGGAGCAAGGGTCTCAGGGAACCCCAAGCAGAACAAAGTGGAGAGAGGTGGAGCCCCAGCACAGGGGGTGGGATGCCTGGCTGCCTCAGTGGGCTCCGAGGGGAGCGTGTTAAAAAAAATCCTTGTCAGGGGAAATGAAGCCTGGTTTATTGGGGAGGGGTAGGGGGTGGTGGTGTATGAAAAGGAATAGCATGTGCACCTATTAAACTGAACGACATTCCTTCCCTCCTCCTTCCTATCTCCGAATTATACAAGAAAAGAGATACTTAGAGGGGTGTACCTATTTTTTTTTTTTTTAATTATACTGTCCGAGCCTTTGAAAGATCATCTTAGGACAGTGAAGATTAAGGGCTGCTTTGGTGCGGGATAATAAAACAGCGCTCTTAAACTCTCCGATCTGCCCTGCCTTATTTATATTGTACTTAAGGGTCTCTGTTCTTGCCAGAGAGGGAGGGTCCGCTCTGTTACGAGCAGATCCACATCGATTTTAGGCGGCTACCTGCCTTTGCTGGATGAAAGGCAATTTACTCCCGGAGCGGTGAATTGTCAGTTCCCTCTGTGATTGACAGCCACACCTGCCACTTATGTGGGCAGATCGGGGACCGGTGAAGTCCCGAGAGCCAATCAATGCTTGGGAGAGGAGGGCAGCTCCCACTTGTCATGGTTAGTTTCCTGGTTGGCTTTTTAAATCAGTGGTTTTACTTAACCATTGGTTTGCACCAGGTATGAGGTTCCAGCTGTGAGAGGCAGACAAACGGAAGAAAACTCTTCGAAAATGGGCTTAGAAGCAAGTATGCTTGACTTTGTCTCCCTCCCTCGCTGCTTGTTTATTAGTTGTAGTAGTTGGGAATGCTCAGGCCATTGGCTTAAAAATGAAAATGAAATGGATCTGTGTAAAGAATGAAATGGGGGCGGGGAGGGTGTTGGGCGTCTGAATTGTCCACCTATTTCTCTAGAATTGCAGGCTCTTTTATAAGAGACACCATTTACTGTTGAGCTATCTGGAAAAGGGTGTGGCACTTTGTCTCCTATGGTCACTCTTGTCCTTGTAAAGTCACATTGTTTCTCAGTATACAGTACTTGGCTGTTGGCTGTATTGGATGGATTTATAGGATATTTTTGAAGCAGGCAAGCATGCTTTATTAGGATTAGCACGAACAGAAGGGATCCTTTTAGTTTTTGACAGCGTAACTCAACTTCTGAAAGTGAGGGCTGCCTGCTTCACTTCTGGTTTGGATGTCAGTTTGGAGGTGGCAGTGGGATCAAGCCAGATCCTTTCTGGAGGGTAGAAGAATTTGCCTTTAAGGTGAGTTTGCTGCTAAAGTGAGCCATCTTGTCGATCTGCTTCTGTGCTTTAGTAAAAGCCTTGCACAGTTTGGAGGGGGTGGTATTTGGATCGTAATGCAAGCATGGCTTTCACCAGCAGGACTTTCACAAGTGGATGGATTGTGAGTGGAAGGACCAGATCCTTCACAATTCTCTATTAGTGAAAGGCTTATTTTTCAATACCCTTCTCTCTGAATTCAGTAGAAAAATTGCTGGTTGATCTAGAGAGCTGTCACCTTATAGAAGCTGTACCTGGATGTGAACGTAAATCTGTGCATTCAGCATTTCATGAACAGATTGTGAGCCAGAGTACTGATTAGGATGGTCTTCACGTTGGAGCCAAGTTTGTCGAGGTAGTATTGTAACTATTACTATTATCATTATTAATTGTATTTCATATGCTAGCACTTTGCTGAGTACTTTACATGGGTTATCTTTTTTAAAACTTGCAGAGCCCCTATGAGGTAGGTACTATTATTATCTCCAAACTATAGTTAAGGAAAATAAAAGGAACTAAATATCTTGCCAGTTTAGTATGAGAGTGAGAACTTGAGCCCAGGTTTCTCTGACCCAGAGCCCATGACCTTGGCTGTGGCCTTGAAATAAAATTTTGGTTGTGCAGTTTGCACGTATCCTGTCTGAAGGGTTGGCTCTCTCAGCATGCATGTTCTGTTCAGAGTCCACTGCAATGTTGATTGTCTTTGCACTGTCCTATTTGCCTTGCCACTTTGAAGGCTGTCACTTCCACTAATAGGCAAATTTAGTAACTTTGTATGTTATGTATTTCTAGTAGGTCAGCTTTGGCCATGGAAATTTGGTTCCAAACTTAACGATGATGACTTAAAAGAAAATAAAACAAAACAAAATTTACATTCTTCCATCTTTCTCAGTACCTTGAATTTCCGGTTAGAGTTTTGAATAGGTCTTGGTTGAATATGTGCTCTTAACATCATTCCATTGACTTTTTATTTTTTGCTAAAGAATTGGAATTTTGTTTTCACTCACAAAGAGACTCTTTTTCATTAGTGATTAAATATAATTGTATTTAAAAATTATTCTATTAAAATAGTATGGTTCTCTTGTTTTATTCTGTTGGAAAAGCCGTAAGACTTAAGCCTTATCAGTATCTTCCCATTGGTGAAACTCAAGGTCAAGCTTTGCCAAAACAAGTATCCTAAAAAACGAGTTTAGATGAATGGTATTGGAGTCCACAAATTCATCTCAACAGATAGTTTTTGACTTTGGTGAGGCCGACTTTGTACAATCTACATTTCTGTTCTTTTTTAAGATTGGCACCTGAGCCATCTGTTGCCAATCTTTTTTTTTTTTCCCTTCTTCTTTTTCTCCCAAAACTCTCCCAGTACATAGTTTTATATTGTAGTTGTAGGTCCTGCTGGTTGTGCTATGTGGGATGCTGCTTCAGCATGGCCTGATGAGTGGTACCATGTCCATGCCTAGGATCCGAACCGGTGAAACCCTGGGCCACCGAAGTGGAGTGTGCGAACTTAACCACTAGGCCACGGGGCTGGCCCCTACATTTCTGTTTGTTTTACTAGGACATCCTTTAACACCTTTTATCAGCTAAGACGTTAACATTTTGGCTGTCATATGAGAGACCTACTTGCCAGCCAACAGTTCAGTTTCAGCAATATTTATATTATTCCTTGATACTTTATTGTGTTTATCCTTATTTTAGAGAGATGGTGACACAAATGGAAAACAGAAAAGCACTGATATTAATGATAATGTAGGTCTCATAAATTTAAAACAGTTGATCCAAGGGGCTGGCCCCATAGCTGAGTGGTTAAGTTTGCGTGCTCTGCTTTGGTGGCCTGGGGTTGGCTGGTTCAGATGCTGGGCATGGACCTACACACCACTCATCAAGCCATGCTGTGGCAGCATCCCACATAAAGGAACTGGAATGTCTTACAACTGTGTACTGGGGCTTTGGGGAGAAAAAAAAGAGCAAGATTGGCAACAGATGTTAGCTCAGGGCCAATCTTCCTCACAAAACACACAAAAACCAAAAAACCAAACCAGTTGATTCAAAGATAGAAATTGTTGTGTATACCAAAGGCAGAGATTCTTCAGCCTGTTCTTTCTTATGTGAAGAAATGGAAGAAAATGAATGAATATGTAAGAAATGCTGAAATATATCAAATGGTAAAAGATACATTAGTCAACTTTGGCTGCATAAGAAAACTCCCTGACTTACAGCAACGTGTATTTATTCTCACACTCCTGAGTCTTTAGGCTGATTGTGATTTGGCTGGTCTAGGCTGCACTCCTTGGGGTGGCTCTGCCGTGGGCTACAGGTTGGGCTCTGATCTGCTCCACATGTGTTTTGGGGCCCAGGCTGAAGAGAGGGCAGCTACTTGGTGCGTGCTCTTCTCATGGCAGATAACTGCCTTCAAGAGTCAAGCCATATTGCACAGCCAATGTCATTTCTACTAGCGATGTTTTTGGATACAGCAAGTCACATGGTGAAGCCCAACTTCCATGGGTAAAAGCAGACTCTGCACATTGCAGGGGAGGAAATGTTTGATGAACTATAATCTAAACTCCTACAATGTATAAAAAGTTTGGTGTGATTAGAGGATTTTATATTTTTTTCTTCTCATCCTTGGGGAATGCAGTTTTCATTCCCTCAGCCCATCGCTAGCTTTATGGCATATAAACCTCGTGTTTAACTTTTGCATTTCAGGAATATACCATGTTTGATTCTAGAGGATTCACTGTAAAGGCAGGTATGAGTGTGTACATGAATTACTTAACTTATCAAGACACTATTTATTAGAACCTACTGTGTTCTAAGGGACTATGCTCAATGGAGTGATGAACACAGGAATTTGTGTCTGATGGGGGTCTTATCACCACAGAACTTATTATTGGGAGTAGGTGTCAGGAAAGACTTGTTGGATGAAATGGCATTTTCCTGGACCTTGAAGCAGGGATAGTTTTGGAGATACAAATAGAGCAGTGGATGTAGTAGAAATTTAAGGAGCACATCTGGATATAATGAGTTTATTCCATTTGGTCAGAAGATAAGATAGGTGAATAATAACCACCATAAGAATAATAATAATAGCAATAATTATAGCTTAACTTTTATTGAGCAGTTCACTGTGTGCTAGGTACTGTGCTTAGCACTTTACCTAAAATATCTCATTTAGTATTGGGATAGACATTGCTGATTGCCTATCCAAGGTTCATTTTCTCCTTTCTAACTAAAAGAACCCCAATTTTGTTTGAGATGGGAGTATGCCCATCTCACTTTCCCAGACTCTCATACAGCCTAGAGTGGCCGTGAGACTCAGGTCTTATAATGATGTAAGTGGATGTTGTTGGACAGGGGCTTTCCTGAAAGCTTAGTGAGGAGGACACACTTGGCTGGTATGCCCCAATAGCCTTTGGCCCCTTTCTGCTGGAAACAATGGTGCAATGCCTGGAGGGGCAGCAGCCACTACAACAACACAGATAAGACCATGTGTTAAAAATGGCAAAGCTGGACCTGGAAGGATCCTGGTCTTGATGACATTATTGAGCCATAGTACCAGCATTGCATAAAACAAATAACCACCTTACTCTTAAGCCATTATTTGTTACTTGTAGTCAAACATAATTCTCACTGATACATACCTTCTCAAGAGCCTCTCAAAGTAGATACCGCCATACCTGTTTTTCAGGTGAGAACATTTAAACTCAAATTAAGGAACTTGCACAAGATCTAGGATTCATTACTATGTCATTTTGACTTTCTGGCCCATCATCCTGCCTTTGCCTGGGCAGTATAAGTACCACAGCAGAGATAATGTTGGAAAGTAGGTTGGGGTAAAGTTGAGGAGGCAACTGGATTCCAGGTTGAAAAGTTTTATTTCATGGGCTGGTTAGTATAAAAGGATTTGAAAAACACAGAGACTGCAGGTTGGAAGACCACTGAGGCTTAAGTACGTGACACCCAGTGCTTTAGTGTGAATGAAGGTGGAGGAAAGCTAGGCACAAAGCAGAGCTGGGAACATGAGAAGAGATTGGAATTGAGTGAACACAAATCGAAGTTGGCTGTGAACCTCTAATCTTCCGAGAACAAAACGAAAGTCTCCTGAAGGTTAGTGTTAACTTCTACTAATGGCTTCACATTTGCCTGGAAGTAGGGAATGAGTAATGTAGAGAATTGCTAATGGGATGTGAATCATTATTTGGTGCAAAAGGGTAGGGACTTCTACTTATCATCCATACCATTTATTGAACCCTTGACGACCTTGAAGGACATGATTTTGGTCTGTGTCTGGCTCCATTGTGCCAGTTAAAGGTAGCAGACATAAAGGGTAAGGCCAGAGGGTGGTACAATGGTACAGCAAGTTCCGTCAATGGACTTTCAGTTATGTGTAGCTTAAGGATGGGGATATGTTCTGAGAAATGCATCATTAGGCAATTTCATTGTGTGAACATCGTAGGGTGTACTGAC